AACTCCGTGTCTAGGATTCCTCCCCCGGCCAGCGGCGCTGAGCCCCAGGGCCAGCTCCAGGCCCGGCCACTTTTGGCCACAGTCATAAACACTAGGAGGCCCGGCGCTGGCCCCACGATGTGGACGAACAGTCCCACAGCGGTTCCCCCGCCTGCTTCTCACCCTGCATGCTTCTGAGATGCTCCCAAGTGGGTTTGGGGGGGTTCACCCCGGGTCCACGCTCCGCCACCGCACGGCCATGCAGGCTGCCACCAGCAGGGGGCACTGGCTCTGCTCCCCGCACCCCTGCCCACACCTGTATCCGCCACCTTTCCACACTTTGTCCAACGACTTCATTTATAGCCTGACACTGAACACCTTTCACTCCCTCCCAGCGATCGCCTGTTTGCTGCAGGTGCGCGTGCCGCACAAAGCACACGCGGTCTCTGCCATCCAGGTTCGTGCCTGGTGACTTCGTCAGGGGCTGGGTGTCAGGGCAGGGACTCGCCTGGGGGCGGCTCCCGTTCGCTTCCGTTTCCAGGACAACCTGCTGGCCTCAGTTGCCCCCGGGGCCAGTTCAGACTGGCCCAGGCCCTGCAGGGTCAGCTGGGGGGGCGGCCTCGCTCAGTGTCCTCCTGTCCTTGAAGAACTTCTGTTTGGCTCTCGTGGCTCTCCGGTTCCCCTTGGTGCCTGGAGCTTTGCTTCCACGCCCGCCTGCTGTGTCCTGAGGTGTCTGGGACCGGCAGCAGCTTCGCCCTGTTCCCCATGGGGAGCTGCATGTCCCCAAATGACGTCTTCCCCATCTCTTCTCCTCTCATGCTTTCTCGTGTGCTAAATTACACGTAACTTTTACCATTTTAAGGTGTATAGTTCAGGGCCACTAAAGCACATTCACAGTGTTGTGCAGCCACTGCCACCGCCTGTCTCATCTTCCCAAACTGAAACTCTGTCCTCCCCACACACAAAGTCCCCAGCCCCTCCCCAGCCCCTGCTGCCCCCACTGTGCTTCCGGAGTCTGACCATTCTAGGGGACTCACTTAAGTGCGTCATACGGCGTTTGTCCGTCCGTGACGGGCTGATAATTCAGCACAATGTCCTGAAGGTTCATCCGTGTCGTGACATTTGTCAGAACAAACTTCCTTTTTTAAGGCTAAATCATATTCACCGCACGTACACTTCACATTCCTCCTCCGACGGACCCCCGGGTTGCCTCCACGTTTTGGCTATGTGCATAATGCTGCCATAAACACGGATGTACATCTGTGTGCACGAGTCCTTCCAGCTAAGCTCTGGAGGACTCCATGCTGTTTCCCACAGTGACTGCACCACTTCACACGCCCACCAGCGCTGCACAGGGTTCCACTTTCTCCACATCTTGGCCCGTACTTTTCTTTTTTTAATTAAACACTTATTCATTCATTTATTTGAGAGAGACAGAGAGAGAGCACAAGCAGTGGGAGCGGCAGAGGGAGAGGGAGAAGTAGACTCTCCGTGGAGCAGGGAGCCCGACGCGGGACTTGATCCTAGGACCCTGGGATCATAACCTGAGCCGAAAGCAGATGCTTCACCTGCCGAGCCACCCAGGCGCCCCCCTTTTTTTGAGAGGAGTTACGGTCCCGGGGCGGAGGGGGGGGAAGTGTTGTCCCCTGTGGTTTTGATTTGCATTGCCCTAGGACTGATGATGTTGAGCATTTTACATACTTGTCGACCCCTGATACAACGGGAGAAATGTCTGTTCAAGTCCTTTGCCCATTTCTGCCTCAGGTTGTTGTTTGGTTTAGAGTTTTAGTTCTCTATGCATTCTGGACACTAATCCCTTACCAGGTATGTGATGGGCACAGGTTTTCTCCCACCCCACGGGCTAACTTTTCACTCTGTTGATGGTGTCCTTTGAGGATCAAGAGGTTTTAATTTGATGAACCCTCATTTATCTACTTTTACTTTTGTTTCTGGAGCTGTTGGGTGTCATCCAAGAAATCAGGGCCAAGTCTAATATCATGGAGCTTTCCCCTGTATTTTCTTCCTGGAGTTTTGTACTTTTATGTCCTTGATCCATTTTCAGTTAGTTTTTGTACGTGGCATTAAGAGTCTGACTTCATTCTTTTTGCAAATCCAGTGTTCCCAGCACGGTGTGTGGACATGACCGCACCCCACCCTCCCCCCAGCGTCTTGGTGCATTGATCAGCTACCTCTAACTTTGTTCGTGGTGTTTTGCCTCCCTAAAAGTTTTGTTGGTTTTCCACAGGTGGTTAAATGTAACCATCTATTCTTTCTTGGCTTCTGGACTTGGACGCTAGGTTAAAAGTCTGCCCCTATGCATCTGGGGTTCATCCTCGTGTTCAGTGAGAGGCACACCCACAACTATCTGTCTTCTAGATAGCTACACCGTTGCCCCGCATGACAAAGTCCATCTTCCCCACTGATCTGAGATACCATCTTCATCCTACGCTAAGTGTCTGTGGGCATTTGGGTCAATTTCCAGACTTACTTTTCCGTCTTGATATTCATGCATCACACGCCAGGACCCTTGCTTTGCTAACTGACATTTTGTGATATGAATTCACATCTGCTAGGACTGAACCTATTTTTGATTATTTTTTCTATTTTACTAGTTTGGCATACTGAAAAAGAGAAGACAAGCATTTACCTTTTTTTTAAGTTTATTTTTTTCTTAACGATCTCTACACCAAATGTGGGGCTCAAACTCACGACCCCAAGATCAAGAGTCGAATGCTCTTCTGACCAGGTGCCCCAAACATTTAGCATTTTTACTGTTGATGACACTGAATTGTGAAATCCCTGAGGAGGACCCCTGGTGCTGGGGAGTCTTCCCCTCCAAGAACTGGGGGTCTCTTCCTGTTGTCAAGGCTCTCGGTAATGCTCCAGGATGTTTTAAAGGTCTGCCTGTTTCCTATTAAGTTTATTCCCATTTTCAGATTGGCCTTTTTCATTTTTCTTCTGGAGTCTGTTTATAACCATGCAGGCCACCGCTTTGCACGAAGTTGTGTGGACCCTCTGCTGTGGACTGGTTCCGGTCCATTCTACACTGAGCAGGCACACTCACATTCCTCCGTGGTGCTGCATGGCCAGTTCTTCCAAGATGGCACAGGTCACCGTGAGGATGGTGACTCGCCTGCAGCTCTGTTTTGTTTTGCTTGGCACTGCTGTGGTTCTGGTTGTTTCTAGTTTTACTCCTTCAGGATAGAAATTTTCTGCAAATGCCTGGTGCGCTTAGCCGTCAGTTGGTATGGAATAGGGCACCAAGACTGGATTAGCAATGTGGGTGGACTGGGGCTCAGTAGCTAGGGCAGCAACCTGTTTCTGCTGCACCCCACCACACAGCTCTGCCCAATCTGTGACTGCCCACCAGAATGTGACTCCTGTTGACCAGCCCTGCCATCCTGTGCTGTTCTGTGGGTTCTTGACTTCTTCAGAACACTCTGCGGTCATTTCAGTGAGACTGTTAGGAAGCATAAGCTTGTCTAGCCCTTGCTGAGAGGCTGGATGTTGGTGGACCCTCCGTCGGGGGAGGTCTCCTTAGACCTTGGCCTCAGCCTGAGCTCCTTGCCCCTTTGTGAGCACATGGCCTCACTGGTGTGAGGCAACGGGGGCCCACGGTGAACACTGCAGATGAAGGTAGGTCTTGTGGGTCTTAGGATGGGATGACACAGGGACGAAAGGAATGGCCAGCCAGGCTGGAGGCGATGCCTGACAAGGGGCCAGCTGCAGGCCGGCCTGCAGGAGCAGCATTCCACACTGAGGAGCACAAAGAGGAAGGACACCATGCAGGACAGTGAGACAGAGAGTAGCCCAGGGAATCCCTCAGGCTGCAGCGAGCAGCTGACATTCCTGGAGGGCTGGGAGCAGAGGAGGGAAGCAGCATGATAACAGGGAGGGGAGAGGGACTCCCTGCCCCCAAACCAGAAACCTGAGAGTCTGCAGAGATGGGTCTGCACTCTCTTCTGGCCGCCACCCAAATCCCTCCCCTCTGGACACCACCCACCGGGCCCTTCTTTCCCACTTCCCTGCGGCCCCACTGGCCCCCACCCACCTCTCAGAACCTCGAGCTTGGGGGCGGGGGTTGGCTCTGCCCAAGAGCTGCCAGGAGTACGATGGTCCCCGCCACCCATTCAGGACGGGGGCCCCCGAGTCACGCCCTTCCTCCTGCCAGGTGACACATTTGTGTGTTTATGTTCTGGTCCAGCAAGTCGAGGGGTCTGTGGCTTTGGCCCCCCAGGACCCTCAGAGCCCTCACACGTACTCGGGCAGGGGCCGCGGCTGGAAGAGCACACGGTGGCCACAGGGGGCAGCTAGGAAGCCTGCTTTCCTGCCACCTTCTTACAAAAACCTCGGACCACAGCAAGTGTCCACACACACGAGCCTAAGCGCACAGCTTCACAGGCTCCCACTCGCCACGCTGGCCACCCTGTCACACTTGGCATGTGTCCGACCTGGCTCTGACCCTTGCACAGAGGGAACCACACACAACTGCAGGCGTCTGGCTTCTGTGGTCCTGAAGCATCCCTGGGGGCTGGAGTAGCTGTGCCCCCTCTCGTGGCTCAGTGGGAACCAAGCAGCTGCTCACCCAACTGGTATGAGACAGGGGGACGGAGAGGTGCCTCCAGTTTGGGGCTGTCACAAGCAGAACCCCTGGGAATGTTTTGGTCACCACTTTTGGTGACAGTCCTGCTGACTGCCTGCTTACCTTGTCCAGGAGCTCTGCTGCGGGGCAGAGGTCCCTGTCACTGGCTCCCTCCTTGGGGTGCCACCCTCCACACCCAGGGTGCAGGTGCTAGGGAGACCGAGGCAGGCCCCTCTGAAGTGCCCAGCAGAAACGGCCAGGGCCCAGTATGGGAGGCAGAAGGGGCCACCTAGGTGCCCACTCAGGGCCCCGGGAAGAGAGCTGATGCTCTGTGAGCCTCCCAGCAGGCACCGTTCAGCCCTCCCCAAGGCCCAGTCGCTGCTTCTGCATCCCACCGGGACCAGCCCACCTGCAAAGCTGGTTGCTGGCTTCAGCTTACCCAGTCCTGCGTCTGCGGCTGCTGCCTTTCGCCCTGGGCACCGGGCTGGTCCCAGGCCATGGTCGGGCTCAGAGCTGGAGAGAGCTCTTGGGGCAGTGGCAATTTGGGCTTCTTCCCCAAGAGGGCATTAGACAAGGGCTTCAGACGGTCCATCTCCAGCCCCACAGGCTGCGTGTCTGCACCTCCCGGGCTCTGGAAAAGGTCACCACCGCTCCCTGGGCCCCGCAAGCAGATGGAGACAGTGTCAGGCCCTGCTAGGCTCACCTTCCAGCTGCTGGCCAGCCAGTGCCGGGCAGGCCTCAGGCCAGTGGGTGACCCGGGTCCCCAGCTGCTGCTGCCGTTTTTCTCGACATGGTTACCCTGGCGGGAGCAGCTACTGCACCCCGCGCTGTCCCGCCCCCGGGGCCCAGGCCTCCCACCTTGGCTCCAGCCCTGCGGGCATGTGCCCTCAGTCGGCTGCTGAGGACCCGCACAGAAGACCCAGACAGAATGCAGGGCCCTGGGCTCTCCCTGCCTCCCCACTCCCGCCCCCTGTGACCTCACCTCGACGCCGCGCGGGCCACACCCCGAGGGGGGCCGTGAGCCAGACGATGCTGCCCGTCTCCCCTCCAGGGGCTCTGCGGGCAAGGAGTGGGCTGAGGGGGGCTCAGGACAGGGGTCCGGAGGGCACATCGTGGAAGGCTGGCAGGAGGGAACCATTAGGGGGTCCCCACTGACGGAGGAGCGCGGTACTTGGGGGAACCGAGGTGGGGGAGCGGCTGGGTACGAGGGGTGCAGGAAGGGCGGGGTAGGCTAGAAGTACGTGCAGGGGGGCGCCGGGCGTGCGGGGCGGGGAGAGGTGGGGCCTGCGGGGAGTGCGGGCTGCAGGGGGGGGCAGGCCTGGGCTGCGGGGAGGGGGCCCCCCGAGCGTACGCGGCGCGCAAACGCGGAGACATGGGGTACCGGGGCAGGGAAAGGTCGGTACACGAAGGCGCTTCGGGGGGGAGCGCCGGGGGGGGGTACGGAGGCGGAAGGGCGGGTCCTCCGCGGTGGGGGCGGTCAAAGAACAGGGGCGTGGCCCACGGCGGTTCGGAGAGCCTGAGGAGGCGGAACCGAGCCCGGCGGAAGTTCCCCTGTGGCTGGCCCCGCCCCGCCGCTTCCGCTTCCGGCCTGCGCCGCGCCTGCGCTGGGGCCCAGGGGCCCCAAGGCTGGGGCCTGGTGGCGGGCTGGTGTGGAGTGTGACTCCGCGGCGCCCGGAGGGGTCTCCTGTCGGATGCCTCCCTTCTCCGCCTCTGGAGAGTCTCCGAGGCGTAGTTCAGGGCTCCTCGGCCGGAGCCCCGCCCCCCGTTCGGCCTACAGGTTCTGTACCCTCCGTGGCCCCCCGCTCCCCCGGGCGGAACCCCCCGGCCGCCCCCCCCCCCCCCGGCGCCCCCCCCACGTTCCCCCGCTCCCCCGGGCGGTGCCCCCCGATCCGTTCCCCGGGGGCGTTCGCCCGCCCGCGGAGTGCGCGCCGGGGGTGGAGCCCCGGGCTCTGCCGGCTGTGGGCCCTGGAGGAATCACACAGTAGGGAGGGAGGAAGGCCTGGGGGTGCCCCCAGGTTTATTAGTGTTGCATCAGCACCTTAAAATAGTCCACGAGGTCACATACGTGACAGATTAGAATCTGTTCCCCAAAGAGGCTATTTACATTAATCCTGTTTTCCATTTAATAAGAAAAAAAAAAACTAGCAACACGTCGTACATCCTCGAAACTAAACAATGCACGGTGAGCTGGACGGGGTCTGCAGAGACGTAGGGCGGCCCTCCTCGGCCTACAGGTTCAGGCCCCCCGCGGCGGCCGCCAAGCGCAGCCTCGGGCCCGGCTCGCGCGGGCTCCTGCGGGGGACACGCTCTCCCTCCTCCGCCCACGGAGGCCAGGTGCGGAAAGGGGCGAGGGGCAGGCATAGGAGCTCCGGCAGCCCGCAGAAGCAAGTGGCCCTGTCTCCTAACGAGGAATCTGCTCCAGGACAATGGCCAAACCCCAGAGAGTACTCTGGTCTTCCCGTCTGGGCATCCCCAAGACGCAGCCATGACACTGACTCAGGACCCTGGCCGGCCCGCCCTGAGGAGACAGTGACCCAGGGGACGGGCATGGGAGGAGCGAGGAAGCAGTGGGACCCCACCCGGCCTGGCCCAGCGAGTCCCAAGTTGCAACTGGTCACCTGGTGGGCTGAGAGCCCTTGCTGTGAAGGGGCTGCTTCTGCCCGGGGCCCACACACCTCACCCCCACGCCAGCCCCACGTGCTGACAGCTGCATGGTTCTGTCACGGATGGCTTTGGCTCCTGCATCCTCTTCCTGGGAGGGACAAAGTGCTTTTCCGTGGATCCTCAGAATAGCTCCATGAGGTAGGCAGGGGAAATGTGACCATCCCTGTTTAGCCTTTGGGGAAGCCGAGGCACGGGGGTAAGCGCAGCCCAGGTCTCTGAGGGAGTCACGGTGCCTGGGGCTGTGTGCGTGACCTCCTGGGCCTGGGGACGGTGTGGCGGGTGTGCCCCATGGCACTTAGGAACAGGACAGACCGCAACTGGGCTCTGTAGGCCCCGGGGGCAAAGGCGCTCCCCTTGCATGGATGAGGGCATAGCTATATGAAGTGGATGGGGGGGTGGGGGGGGAGGGATGGTCCCAGGAGAGGGCCTGCCCCCCATTTGGCCCCTTCCTCTCAAGTCAGTTCTGCAGCTAGAAAGTGAAGTCAGGAGCCTCACCTGTACCTCCTTCCTGCTGAGTGTGACTTTTGGAAAGGAAACTTGAGGCCCAGTGACCAAGGCCCTGAGACCCAGTGGTGGGAACCAGGGCAGGGAGGCTCAAGGTCCCAGGGCCTGCTTCTGAGGGTACAGGCCACCCGAGGCACTGGGGCTCAGGGGCCTGCACCCTGACTCCGTCTTCCAAGCCAGGGTTCGGCTTAGGGCCCCTGGTCCCAGGAGCTGTCAGGGGAGGAGTCTGGGCCCTCATGGGGAAGGCCCTCTGCCCACAGGCACCCCCGAGGCAGAGCCATACACAGGGTCAGGCCCGTGTCCTCCTGTTCCCTAACTAGCCCAGGGCCACTGGCCGTGAGGCTCATCCCCTGTACTGCCTTGGGGGAGGAAGGAAGCCGGTAGGTCACAGCTAAGAAGGGTGGGCCATTGCTCACTCCCCCAGGGGCTGACCTGTCGGTGCCATGGGCTGTTGGTGAGGCCTGTCCTCTGGAAGAACAGGACTGGCCTGCAGCCTGCCCTGCATTTGGCACTGTGTTCTGAGCATAGCCAGCGTGGCCCGCTGGATGGGCTACCAGGATCCCAGGGCCACAGCTGCCAAAGGGTGGGAACTGGTGGGCTCTTCCCATGCAGAGTGGGCTGCAGGGTTGCGGGGGAAGCCGTGGGACTGGGTTGGACTCACTGCAGGTCGGGATGTCTCTTTCCTGTTGCATGGAAAGGCAGGGGGTGATGCTACCACCCAGGGTGGGACCCAAACCCAAAACCTTGCTCTAGGGAGCGTGGCCCAGGGAGGCCAGGGCTCTGTGCCTCTTCAGGGTACCCCCAGCTGCACCTACAGGTCCGGGGGTGCCTGGCCCCTGAGGCCAGCCTGCCCTGCCTGAGCTTTCACTGGCCACGTAAGTGCTGTATGGGCCCAGACTCCCCCCCCGCCCCCGCCAGCCGGCCTGGGGGCCAGGTGGGAGGAGAAGGCTGAGTGGGCTGGGGCCAGCTGTGGGGGCCACTGTGCTTGCTAAATTTGGGGCAGGGACAACCAGCAGAAGCATAGTGATGGCTCAAGAACAGCCAGAGAGAGTGAGGCGGGTGGGGGCTGGGACGCTGGCTGGCTCTGCCCGAGCCCCAGGGGCCACTGGGACAGCGGAAGAGCACTGTCTGTTTGGCAGCTACATTATAACGTGTATTTAAAAGCATTAAAAATATCTGCTACTATAAAACCTCCACTGCCCCTCGAGGCTGGAGTTTATTGGGAACCACAAGTGGGCGGTGCTGGGGCATCTCTCGGCTGGTGGGCGGCTGGGCCCAGGCCTGGGCTGCCCGACCACCATATTCTGCTCGGGGCGCCCCCAACAGGAGGCCGGCCTTCAGCCTCTGGTCACCCAGCTCTGTGTCTGGGCACACAGGCAGCCCGTGGATCTGTGTGGCCGCCCGCCTGGCCCCAGCTCCCTGAGGAAGCAGAGTCCTGGCTTTCTGGAAGGACGGGACACAAAGGCGAGCACCCTTCTTGCGGGGGGGCTCGGGGGGGTCCTGAGGCCAAAACACACCTTTCGTGCCTCTCAGAGCTCAGCGCTGTCCACCTGGCCTCCCACCCCACCGGCACGTCTGGTTAATGAGCAGAGCAGTTAATGGGCTCCGGGGGGGGGGCAGCCTCCCCATGAGTTTCCAGGTTGAGAGCACGTTCATACTTAAGACTGTTTCTCTTTGTGTTTTTCAGGGTCTCTGTAGTAAACTGAAATGTTAACAGAAAAGCAGCTGGGCCCTCCCGGCGCTCGCCGTCCAGGGCTTTGGGGCAGGGCTAGCAGGTGGACTTGGAGTGTCCGAAGATGCAGATGGGGAAGTGCTTCACGTGGGAGGACCACTGGGCCGCCAGCTGGAAGAACTTGACGTCGTTCCACTCCACACCGTCGATGAGGACTGTGGGAACAGACCAACTGAGCCGCCCGCCCACCGCGCCCAGCACCCCCGGGGACCCCAGGCGCTCACGGGACACCTGCCGGTCAGGCCTCCCACCGCCCGCCCTCCCCTGCTTCCTGCCACCTGTGCCAGCTTCTCCCTGATTTGGGGGACCTGCTCATCCACGGCCCCCCCACCCCAGCAGGGGTCTGCAAACTGGGTTCAAACAGCCTCCGCTTAAACCAGAAAAGCCACGGAGGAAGGCGGGGCAGTTCTTGACCACAGTGGTCATCGGACTCGAACTCATGAAGAGAAAACCGTTTGGGCTCCATATTCTGAAATAACTAGTTATAGAATATCTTTTATAAAAGGTCTGAGATATATAAATCAATCTTAAAAGAATGGAAAGGATTGAGAAATTATTTCTCAGGATTTAAAAAGCTGTTCTATGTGTACAAACGCTTTATCAAAATGGGTTCGAAGCTCGAACTATGTGATATGCATTCCATAGCAAGACAAAAGTGTTTCCAGAGATGAATTTTAAAAAGCAGTCCAGCTTCCTCTGGTTTCTTTTCATATGTCAGACACCTCCCCACAGGCTCTGCACTGAAGGAAGGACATCTGCACAACTGGCCCCCCACGGGTGCTGGGCCCCGCGGGTGCTCACCCCTCAGCATGTTCTGCTGGTGCTTGGCTGTGCAGATCAGGCGGCTGATGCCCTCGATGCACTGGCTCTTGGACTCCACATCCTTGTCCTTGGTTTTCTTGGGCAGAAACATCACTAGGAGGGAGAGGGCTGCAGGGTTCAGCCACGGCCCTCGGAGCCCTGCTGTCCTGTGCCACCCACGTTCCACCGTGACCATGGCTGCCAGCCCTCCCACCTGCCGAGGTGACCTCCGCTCGCTGCTTGTGGCCGTGGTCAGAAGCGGTCCCCAGACCTGTGGCAACCTCAGGGCCTGCATGGCCACCCCTCCAGTTCCCCCAGCAGTCAGCCCATCCCCCCACCTCACCCTTCTTGTTCTTCTCCTTGGTGACCACGGTCATGGACATGGTGGGCGTGGCCGCGGCCTCGCCACTGCTGGGCAGCCTGCTGACCTGGAGAGACCGGAAGGTGCACTTGAGCGTGTTTTTGGTGGCGGGCAGGTCCTTCTTCTCCACCTCTCTCTTCCTGTCTGCAGGCAGGGCTGCCGTCCAGTAATCCACCTGCAGCCCCATCAGCTCAGCACCGATGCCCTGGCTGCAAAAAGCAGAGGGGACCTCACTCCTCTGTCCTCGCCTGGCGGCTGGCACAGGCAGGAGGAGTTGCCGGTTGGCGCCTGTGTGGCCCACTGCCGGGGGGCCGCCTGCGGCAGCTAGCCTGCAAAGGGGAGCCCCAGCCCTGGAGCCTACTGCAGTCCCTCCCTGGCCTCCGGGGACAGCCCAGTCTGTGTCTGTGGGTGGGCATGGCTACAATGCTGATGTCACCCAGGAGTACCTGGGCCTGCTGCCCGTCTGCTCTCAAACCACCCCTTTGAGTCTGGAGGGCCAAGGTCAACCAGCCTCATCTGAGGTGTGGCCTCCATGGGAGTCAGGAGCAGCCCTAGGACCCTGTGGCCCATGGGGGTGTGGGTGAGTTCTGCTCACCAAAGACCCGAGGGTGGCTGGGAGGGGCTGCTGACCACCCCGCCTCTTGGCCCCCACAGCTTCTACGCACACATCTCAGTCTCCTGAGCCCCGTCTGCGTGCAGAGTCCCCCATTCACTTATTCCATGTGGTTTCTGTCCCTAGTGCCCCCAAGGCTGGGGGGAAGGGGACAGGTCTCCTAAGCCAGCCAGGACCTGGGCCACCCCCACCCAGTGGGGCACCTGGCCCCAGCAAGCCCGTGTCTTCCCCATGGCTGTTCTGAGCGCCCCCTCTGGCCAGACCCTCAGCTCGCTGGCGTCTCAGAGGTGCGGCCACGAGTGCTTCTCAGTGCTCTCTAACCCAAGGCCCCGCTGCAGCGGGTGCGCTCAAGTCAGGATGGGGTGGGGTGCCTGCCTCGTGCGGCCCCGTTTACCTGGGGGAGGACAGGCCCCCGCTCACTGAGGGGGAGGAAGGCGGGGTGGGTGAGGCCTCCTTGGCCGCGGGAGACGTGGACGGTGGGGTGGACGAGAGCCCGCTGGAGCCCGAGGGGGCCGCGTCATCTGAGTCACCTTTGGGAAGGAGTTGGGCAGCACTGAGCTCCCCTCTGCCTCTGTCCCCCCGAGCAGCCGCGGGGGGAGGGGAGGGGCTGCCAGGCCTCCCACGGTGGGGCGCCCTCCCCTTCCTGGCCCCGTGGGCAGGGAGCGTGGGGCTACCTGACGTGGCTGAGGATGGTTCCACTATTCCAACTTTCACCACCTGGAAGGCAACGGGACGCCGGCTGGAGCAGCCTGGGGAATCACCAGCCCTCCCGCCCGGGCGCTGGGCTCCAGACAGATGCCCAGTGCTGTCTCCCCTAGGGCGCCCAGCTGCCATGCCCCACCCTGCTGGGAGCTCCAGGGTGGGGGCAGGGTCCCGGTTCTTCCTGTCCTTGCAGCACAGCGGAGCCCAAGGTGGCATGGGCCGTGGATGCATGTCCCTGTGCGGGACAGGGCTGCAGAAGCACCCTCCCAGGTCATCCTGCACACCGGGGTGGGGGCACAGAGCCCACACTGCGGCCCCTCCACAAACCCTGAGCCCACGGCTGGCCTGGTAAGAGGGACCCCTGCCCAGCTAGGGGCCTGCACCGGGCACCGCGTGGGCTGACCGGTGTGGGAGCCACGTAAAATTAAATGAAGTGACAACTTATGTCTCAGTCATGTGGGTGCTTCCAGTGTCCACAGAGGGTTTGGAGCTGCTACAGAAGGTTCCCCGAGACAGGCTGCCCTGGACTAATTCTGTCCCAAGAGGGCCACTAGCTGCCCTGACGGCTGGCCAGGGTAAGCGACAGTGTGGACATCCTGCTCTGCCCAGTGGCCCCGTCTGCCAGACTGCCCGTGGCTCTTATGGCAGATGCTAGGGCTGGAGGCCACGCAGCGAGGTTCTTGGCTATGAAAACTCACGGCAGTGGCCCAGCCAGCACGGAGCAGCTGTTAATCGTCAGCCGTGGGAGAAAGACAAACCTCCCAATTTACAAACCACACTCCCAGCTGGGCAGGCTGGTACGGGAGGCACCCCTTCCTGTCCTATAGCTGCTCCTAAGGGACAGAAGCACCCCTCTGCCCCATCCCGGTGGGACCTATCCCCACACCCTGCTGACACTGGGCGCCCACCCACAGCCGAGTCTGACACAGCCCGTGTGCCCAGGACGTGCTGAGCACTGAGCACTCGCCTCCAGGTGAACTGTGTGCTTGCACCTGTCAGCCTCCAAGCAGAGCTGGGGGCAGTGACCACCTCTGGGCCTAGCCCTACTCAACATGGGAAGGAAACAATGAGCTTTAAGATGGGGGTGTTGATTTAAAGGAGCACTCAGCTCAAATTGGTGAAGAAGGTTCTCGAACATATCAAGTTAATGCAAAACCAGACATTATAAAAAAAAGTTTGGCAGGTTGATCATTTCCCACGCAGGTAAAGCCAGCCACACAGGAGGAATGCCTCGGGTACGGCAAGAGCCCCACCAGAGAAGTACTCACCCCTACGAAGGGAATGAACTTTTGAGAGGACTCTTCGTCAGGGCTAAGAACAAGAAACACAGACAATTACCTCTCACTCCACCGGGCAGGCAGCAGCCGGGGCCTCATGCTGCCCATGCCATGCCCACACCCAGCCCTGCAGTGCCCGGCCTGGCCCTCCGACCCTCAGCTCAGCTCCCTGCAGCTGAGGTCAAGAGGCCTGTGGGAAGCCGTGTAGGAACCAGCTTCTCCAGCCCAGGGGCCTGGTGTCCAGGCCCAGCTGCCTTTCTGCTAACCCTGCAGGCCTCCGTTTCCACACAGCTGCAAGACAGCTTGCGGCATGTGCCCCAGGACCCCCCATGGGGCAGTCTGGGCTTCCTCCAGCGACTGGAGGCAACCAGAAGCCAGAGTGTGGAGGTTGTCTCCTGGACAGTCTGGGTAAAATCCACACCAGCCAGAGAGACGGGGCAGCGGTAATTTCCAGGCCTCCGGCCTCAGGGGTGGGGTGCACACACCATGCTCTGGCAGAGTGCCACCCCAAGAGCAGCCTGAAGGGGAGACTGAGGCTTCGGGGCCGTGCTGCGCTGTAGGAGGCCGGCCAGCATGGGCGGCCGTGAGGTTCTGTCTGGACCGGGCACCCCGTGTCTTCTAGGAGAGACTCGGATTCCCTGGGATCGCTGGGGCAGGCAGGCATGTCGGAGGGCCCTCGGGGGCAGGGAGGGGGCAGCAGCCAAGGGGACGCAAACCAGCATCTGAGTTCCGTGGGCCAGGCCAGTCCTGCAGCTCATCCCTGCAGCTGGCTCTGCAATGACTGGTCTCCACCACGGGGCCGGGGCCTGAGTGGCTCTCCCGGTGGGGGATGGGGTGCTCGGGCACCAGGCTCCCAGGCTGACTTTAAGAGCATCTCCTGGCCTTTGGGAAAATCCCCCGGGCAGGGCCAGTTCTGGGCCTCCTGTGGCCTCAGAGAAGGGGGACGGGGGGCGGGGGGCGCCTCCTTGCCCCAGCTTTTCCCTGGCTCTCAGGCCATCCCCCAGCTCTGCTCCTGTGGGGAAGGAGGCGGGCGCCTGGCCAGTGCTCCCCAGGCAATGTGCCCCGGGGCCGGCACAAAACGCACACCTGGCGCCCAAGGCCGGTCCAGCAGGAGGCACTGTCCTCACCCTGCGGCACAGCACCCACACGAGGGGACCAGGCTGGCAGGCCCCTGGGCGCCACCTGGACACAGGGACCCGTGGCCTCTGCCCTGGCACTGCCCATCACACCGGAGGACAACCTGGCAAGTTTCTGGATAAAAGAACCTACAGATTTGGGCCATCCTGCTGAATATGGCCACATCCCCAGCCTTTCTGACCTGAAGGGAACAGAGTTCATCCACAGATAACACAGCAATTCGAACCCCGTGCCCAGGCTGGCTTTCGCATGCAAGGTCCTCATGGGCCCCCGGCCAAGGGCGGGGGAGGCTCCGGCCCACAGGGGTCCAGGACCCTCCCCATGAGCAGCACGCAGGGAGGCAGGTGAGGGCCTGGCGGGGCCGCGGGGGAACGCCACCATACAGGGATGCTGCTGGACTCTGAGAAGCCAAGCCGAGCCCGGGCCATGCAGACAACATTCAGCACTTGACACACGCCCAGCGGGACAGGGGTGACACCGGCTTGCCACTGAGACCTCGCCACCTGAACTCTGGACGCAGAGGGAGCACGCGTGTCTTGGGTGGGGCACAGGTCAGAACTCCTAAGGCTCATACGTGTGGCTCCATGGTGGGGGCCCCTGGGCCTGTGGCTCATGAGACCATGTATGGGGGGGCACAAACGTGCCTCAGCTCAACACTGGGAGCACAGAGCTGGGAGGGCACTGAGAACATAGTGCCCTGGACGTCAGCCCACCCCCAGGCGCCCCCAGGGAGCTGTCGGGGCCGCACACCGCAGGTGTGGTCTGAGGTCAGGCCAGGAGCTGCGTGCGGTCTGGACCCTCCCTGCAGTGCTCCCATGGGAGCAGGAGGAGATGGGGCCCCGAGGGCCATGTCCACCGCCCACCCTCTCCTGGGCCTCCTGACCACTCTGTCCTCTGTCACAGCAGACAGAGATGACCTGCTGACCTCCCGGTCCCGGGCTCTAAGGGTGGCCAACACACTGGGCCTTCCTGGGGCCCCAACCCAGGTGCTGGTGCCACCACTGTGACGCAGAGGTGGGCGTAGGAGGCACGGGACGAGGGCCAGGGTCCCCTAAAGCCCGGGCTGGAGAGACGAGGGGCTGGTGCCAGGCAGCAAAGCAGGCTGCAGGCGTCCGCAGCATGGCGCCCAGGGCGGCTTGAGCAGTCACGGGGCACTCCTCGGCTGGTCTTTCTTTAGCTCACAAAGGCTCGTTTAGCAGGACCACGTAGGGACGCAGACCCCTCCTCCTGGTCTGTCCAGCAAGGAGGCTGCCTGGGGCTCAGCGACCCTGGGCTGGCGGGCTTTCCCAGGAGAGAAAGAAGCCAAGACCCAGGGTGGAGCGGTGCCCCAAGGGGGGCCCGGCAGACAGGCTGCCAGGACAAGAAAGGGGAACCCCAAACGAAAGGGCAGCTCTGGAGGCGCCTCGGAGTGTGGCTCCCAACATGTAGGTTTTCAAGGGAGGAGCCACCTGGTGGTGAAAAGCCCCTCACTGCACGTGGGGGTCTTAGCGGTCTGGCCACCTGCCCAGTTGAGCCACAAAACTCAGCCGGGAGACCCTCGGTGCCGTTCTCTGCAGCCCTGGGCGCAGGACCCAGAGCCAGGCTGGGAGTGTGTGCCATCCGGTGGGCCCCCCACCCTTTGGCCTGCACATCCCCACGTGCAGAATCGGCAGCAATGAGTCCGGTCATCAGCTACAACGTGGTGGGACAATAGTCCACACACAGCCAGTGTGGCATCAGTGGCCAGTGGCTCGTGGTAAGACCCCAAGCACCTGCTTCTACTGTAAGAGGTGGTGCCCAGGACTTCAGAAACAGACACTCACAGGGGCAGTCAACTTGGCCGCTTCTTCAGCTCAAACTCTGGACTGCGCCAGACAGAGGACAGCCTGCCCTTCGAGCTGGGTGGGGGCCAGAGAGCAAAGTCCTGGCTCGGGGCACCCACCCGCCTGCCGCTCGGTGGAGGGCCCTGCCTGACGGGCAGCAGGGTACGAGATGCCCCCCAGCTGCTCATACTGCTAAACAGCCCTAAAGACCAGCCTGGGGACACAGGGGCGCAGACCCAGGGACAGCGGTACCTGAGGGTAAAGTCAAAATGAAAGTTCTTTTTCCTTTTCAGAAAGCCACCAAAAGAGAAAACACAGACATGTTATTAAGTGCTCAGCACGCATGTCCCGGCGTGGCATGGCCGCCCGGCTTCCAGCTCGGGGCTTCCATGGCCGCTGCGGCTCGCCAACACGTCAGCTGAATGTCCTACCCCCACGCCGGGAGAGCCGCAGAGCATCCCGCGGACGGGAGCCCAGACGCTTCGCAGAGTCGGCCCTTCAGCCCACCCTCCCTGCCTGGCTGTCCACCCTTGCGGGCCCGGCAGCCAGACCTGCGCCCAGCCTTGGCAGTGGCCCCCCCACTCCTGCCCACTGTCCTGCCCAGGGTCAGGGCGAGAACGTGTCTCTGGGCCTGGGAAGCCCAGGAGGTTGAAGGAGCCCAGGCCTGCGTTCCCGTGAGCAGGTCACCACTAGGACGGGGCCGCATGATAGTTGATCCTTTAACCTTCATTATGGGAAATTCCAACATACAAAATAGAGAAAGATTGACCAGCGCCTTCTAACCAACTCAGAGGAGGACCTGGGGCTGCCAGGCCCGCTCACGGCATACCCCCCAAGCCCAGCCTGGGTTCCGTCCCTTGGCCAACCAGGTCTGTCCCTAATGACCATCCCGACGAGCCCCCTGGTGCTGCCCGAAGGCTCTGAGACCAGCAGCAGGCAGGGAGGCCCACAGAGGGCCGGCAGCTGTGGGCGGCCTGCGTCTGCGGTGTGGAGCCGGTGCCCCCGCCCTCCCGCACACACTGCCCTGCCCCCAGGGCCCAGCGAGGTACCTCTTCTGCTTGTAGGTCAGCATGGCTTCCGCGATGGGCAGCTGGTGGGCACAGTTGGCACCTGCGATGTACTGGGTGATCCTCGACACAATGTCCGGCGTGTCCTGCACTGCACGAGAGGGCCGGGCAAAGTCCGTGGGGTGCCACACTCCCCTCCCACCCCACATGGTGCCCCCAGGGCCGCCCAGCTCCCAGCCTGGGAGCAGTGGGAATGCTGGGGGCAGCTGAAGGGCCCCCCCCTGCCCTCATGGCTCCTCTGGATCCCTGGGAGCCCTCGTCCGGGGCCCCCGGGGCCAGCTAGGTCTGAGGCCCATGGCGGCCAGTGGGGAGCACCAGGCTGAGGCCCCACTTCTGCTCACGGAGGCGTGGCAGCTCACGGAGGCGTGACGGCAGGATGTGAGGGCAGCCCTACCCGGCCGGCTGGCCCCAGGCCTCACCGGCACTCTGGGCCTCCAGCTTGTTGAACAGGTCTCTCCAGGCCAGGTCCTGGAAGAAGTTGTTGTAGCGGTAGTCCACGGAGCCCAGGTACCTGGCCACGGGGTGGGAACCTGCGAGCCCAGGGGAGAGGGTCAGGCTGCAGAGCCTGCTCTGTGGCCCCTCGAAGCCCCTCCCTGCTCCTGGGGGCAGGGGCACCGCTGCAGACCACAGAGGGTGCTGGGGTGCCAGGCAGCCCCTCCCCTGGGACCCGGCGCCTCCCAGTAACATGTCGTGCAAGCCACAGATGCAAAGCCACGTTCCACGGGGTTTGATCATTTACAAGGATTTGCAACCACCCTGCCTTGCTTCTGACAGTGGCATCGAGTTAGCCCGACGACGGGGTGCGGGGCCCCAAGAGTGCCCAGCGCAGGGACAAGCGCTCCACGCCTGTCCCCCCGCAAAAGCCCCTCACCCAGCGGGATGATGAGAAAGCGCATGTAGCCCAGCCAGTCGGGGGTCTTGTGGGACAGCTGCTCCACGAACAGCCGCAGGACAGCACTGAGGTAATGCTGCGCTCCCGCCACGGCTATCTTCACGGGGGTCGGTGGCTGCGAGTTACAGTTGCAGCTGCGGCCCCGAGGGCAGGACAGAGGGGACAGATGCCTCAGGGAGCCGCGCTTGCAGCCAGGTCCCCCCCCGGCCACAGGGACCCCCCCCACCGCCCAGATCTGGACGGAAGATGGGCCTGTGGGTGGGCACGTCTGCAGCCGCCACTGCCCCCGGGACACAGCCCCAGGTGAACCTGGGATGTAGGGACCCCGACAGACGCCCCGTGGCAGCTGGACTCACTATCTCTGTATCCTCGAGACGATGGTGCTGAAGGCCGCCTGGACGTCAGCGGCAGAGCATGTGCACACCACGGGGAGCGTGTGCTTCTGCAGGACTTCCGACAGGAACTGGGGCGAGGGCGTGCGTGCGCGGAGTGAGCCTCAACGCTCCACCCAGCCTCCCGTCAGCGCCACCAAGCGTGGGCTCTCCCCCCACAGAGAGGCCACCCCCCCGCTCCCCCTGCAGAGAGGACATCCCCCGCTCCCCCCGCAGAGAGGACACCCCCTGCTCCCCCCGCAGAGAGGACACCCCCCACTCCTGCTGCAGGAGGACACCTGGCTCCTCCCCACCTGCCCCTGCCAGTCAGAGGTGTTGACAAGAATGATGTTTTCAGGGAGCTGGTCATCAGAGATGAGTATGTGGTTTAACTGGTCATACACGGTCTTCCTGGGGATCTGGAGACACAAGGCCCATCCACACTGGTGGGAGAGGTGCTGCAGCCCCTCACCTGTCCAGCTGACCCCCACCCCCCAGCAGCCCATCTAGCAGTGGGCAGGAGAGGCCGGCCCTGTTCTTGCTCAAGAACTCGGCTTTCCACTGGACAGGGGTCACTGGGCTTAAAGCACCATGGGACCGTCACAGCCCGCAAGGTGGCCGGGCCGCCTCCCCCTTGAGCTGCCAGCACTGGGTCAGTTCTGGGCAGCCGTGGCCTCTGCCCGTGACCTGTCCTGGAGTGCGCACCTGCAGCTGGCTCCTTGTGTCCGGGCAGCGCTCATTGTCCAGACTGTTGGCCCGTTCGTTCTGTGGCCGCGCAGGCTGCCGCTCCTTCAGGGATGTGCTCCGGCCCCGGCGGCCAGCCTGCTTCCCCTCGGACCTGCCAGGGAGCAGCACAGGCTGGGGCAGGCCCATGTGCTCGCCACCCCAGGGAAGGGGGCTGCTCAGCAATGGGGCCGTGGTGGGTTCACAGAGGGTGGCAGGGCAGGTGGCAGGCAGTGTGGGCTCCTCTGAGGGCAAAGGGCTGACGTGGAGGCCACGCGCACACTAGGCACATGCGCTTTCCACATGGGCATAAGGCCTGATACAACACGTGAGTGCTGGCAGCACGGAACCCAGGAAGGGGGCTCCATTGTCTCCCTGCAGAAGGCCCCAGCCCAGCAGGTCTCAGGGCAGGAACGCAGGTCCTGGGGGGAGCGGTAGTACGTGGCCACACGTTGTGGTACAGAGGGCGCTGGGAGTTCAACCAGGTGCCCAAGGAAGGTGAAGACAAGACAGGCTGGGGAGCACGTCCTGGGGGGGGCTCAGAGAAGACCCCCAGGCTGACGGAGACGGCAGTGGGGGCAGGTAAGAGATGCTGCGGGAGTGTCCTCCACTGGGAAGCTGCCCGGGTCCTTGCCACCCAGACCCCCACCTCTGTGATGCCCACCACGAGGGGCAGGGTCCTGGCCCCGCAGAGCTCCCATGCCGGACCCAGCACCACTGCCCGGGGGCTGCTGTGCTTGACCACACTGGACTCTGGGCCCAGCTGGGCACACTCCTCCTGCACCAGGGCTACACTGGTCCACAAGGTGCCAGTGAATGGTGCCAGGGGCAGGAAAACGTGAGATGGGCAGCTGGGGCCACACCTCAGCCCCAGAAGGCCTGCTGGCAGCTAGCTACAAACAGGGGTGTGTGGGGTCCCATGTGGACCTCTGGGGCGGGCCCTGAAATCTCTGTGCTTCTAAGTGAGTCTCATCCAGTCATGGGGCCCTGCCCGCCACACTGGCTTATGTGGGTGATGCCTGGCCAACAGCCTCCCCAGGGCATCCTGTCACCTGGTGGAGGGGATGACGAGGGACTCCGTCTTGGCGATCCGCCCGCTGGGCGGCAGCCTCTCGGTGAACATGTCCAGAGCAGAGGTCTCCGCCTCCGGGCTGTCCTCGGGCTGTGCGGGCTGCTCCCCGGGGGCGGGTGTGCTCTGAGATGCACAGAAGGGGGCCCGATGGTAGGCATGTCCTGTGGAGCCTCCCCTCGGGGGCCAGTCCCAGGCCCGAGGAGCCCCTGGTTTGGGTGGGGTTGTGTAGGGTTGCTTCAGGCTGACAGCTCTCCACATGCAGCACAGACATGCACTCCGCTGAGGAGCCGAGCTGACCTCTGCTTCCAACCACGGGGCTCCCGGTCCTGGCTGCCAGGGGAAACCAGTACCAAGCCTCCCCCAAACCTCCCTAAAACCTGCCCTGCAGCCCAGGACACTTTCCTGGAGAATGCCCACGAGGGCAAAACAGGGATCAACTATAGTGTTCACGGGGCCTGTGCTCAGCAAAGCAGGGGGACACCCCCTGTCCTTCCAGAACTAGAGTGATTCCGGGGGACCCTGACCATCCCTTGGGGTGGGGGTGAACCCCGGGGCGCCCTCATCGTGGTCTGTGCACTGGTCCTGGGAGGGGTGAGCTGAGGACCCCCATGTCAAGGCCTATCCTGAAGGCAGTAAGTGGACTCTGTGCTGGACCCAGTGCACATGTCCCGCGCCTGCTCACGTGGGTCGTGTCGGAGATGCTGTCGCTTGGCTGCTTGCCTCCCAGGGCTCGAGTCTTCTCAGGCACGTCAGCCTGTGTGGACAAGATGGACATCAAGATGTGTTCAATGGTGGGCATAAGGCTGGCTCACCTCCGGGCAGGGGGCTTGGGGGCAGCGAGGGATGACTGGCCAGGGCTTTCTTAGACCATGGGTGTAGGGTCACCCCAAGACAGGCATGTGGCATTGGGCAGGGGATTCCAGCCACATACAAACCCAGGAGCACAGTGTAACACCAAGTGTAAGTAACACTCTGAGCGACCCAGAGAGACGGGGAGGTCGGGACAGCCCACTCTTGTCCTGAGGTCCCACCAGGAGGGAGGGGCTGCCGGGTCTGGCCTGCTCACGGGACTCGGAGGCTCCTTGTGGCTCCGGACACTGTGGATGCTCCCGATTTCCGTCTGCGAGCTGGAGTGTGACAGCCCTTCGAAGTAGGGCCTGGGTATGGGGATGGAGAGAGGTCACGCTATAGGACCCTCCCCACACTGAAGGGTCGGCCACTGTGCTTGTGGCATCTGGCAGCCATGCAGGGCTGGGGACCATGGCCCAGGGGAGGATGCTGAGCACCACGCAACCTGCAGCCCTTCTCGGCCCCTCCACCGGCTTTGACATCCGCAGAAAACCTGCATCCCTGAAACCCACCACCCCTGGCCTTTACCCTGGGCAGGGCAGCCAGCGATTCGGGTGGGCGACTCCACCAGCAGGAGGCTGGGGAGCCTCAGGCCCCATGGCCAGCTCGCAGCAATACAGGGACGTGCTCAAGGCCGCCACAAGGGTGCCATCTGCAGGATCCAGTGACCCCAGGCCAGCAGGCCAAACACCCTGCCCCCAGCAGACAGCCAGGCGGCGGGGGGGCTCAGACTCAGAGACTCAGAACAGTTCAGGCTGAAATGGTGGGCGGGGCTCCGGCAGTCTGGTGACAGAGCCCCCCAGGGACAGGGAAAGGTGAGGGCAGGGCCAGGGCTGGAGATGCCTAAGCCCCGCCCCCTGGGACTGTGAGTACCAGCTGGCCCACGACCAGCCGAGGTGACCCCACGGACAACAGACGGGTCAGCCAGCGGCCGAGGTGACCCCAGGGACGACAGAGGCAGAGACCTGTTCCGTGAAGGCAGCAAAGCCCAAGGTGCCTCGACGGCCTTGCCAGCTCTGTTGGTGGGCGGAGGGGGCTGCTGGCAAGACACGGGGTGGGCTGAGCCTGTAAGTGGACCCCCCAAGCTGCATCTGCAGCGAAGGCCAGTGGCTGACACCTAGACCAGAGCCTACGGATGCCACAGGTGTGCCCACACGGGACTGGCCACAGTGGGGCGGCTGGAGGTCAGCAGCTGCACAGAAAGCCCACCCTCCCCATGGGTATCTCTGTCCCACTGACTCCTATCAAAGAGTTAAGGGGCGCCTGGGTGGCTCAGTCGGTTGAGCGTTGGCTCAGGTCGTGATCCCAGGGTCCCAGGATGGAGCCCTGCATCGGGTTCCCTGCTCAGCAGGAAGCCTGCTTCTCCCTCTGCCTCTGCCTCTGCCCCTCCCCCCCACTCCTGCTCGTGCTGTCTCAAAACACACACACACACACACACACACACACACACACACACACACACACACACGAAAGCATTAAAAGCAAAGCCAGAATGCCACAGATCTTCTGGACGCCAATATGGCCCCCACTTGGCTGTTCGGTCTCGTGGGCCAAGCCTCCCCTGACCCCAAGCCCGGGGCCTCCTGCCCTCTCCTGCCCCAGCCAGGATGACACCTGGCTCCTGGGGGACAGGGATGCTCTGCAGTCCCCAGCTCCCCATGTCCCCAGTGCACAGAAGAACCCCACGGCCCCCCACCTGCTGGCTGCCTCCTGTGACAGGTGCCGCACTCGGCCCAGCCGAGACCCTGGGAAGACGGCCTTTCCCAGCCAGAGCTCTCGCCCCTCCACCTCTGACACCACGACCTCTTGCAGGGATGACCCCAATGCCTCCTAACCGGTCTCCTGTCTTCATGCTCCCAGTGATTCCAGAGAGATCTTTCCAGAATGTAGCCGTGACCCTGTCACTCCACTCCACAAACACCGCAGACCTGGGCCGCCCGCTAGGATGCACATCCACCCCCCCGACCCAGAGCCCATGTCCCCAAGTGCATGATTCCCTGTGGCCCCTGCAACATGTGGGACGGCATGGGTGTGCCTGCTGGGGCCTGGGGCCAGGCGGCAGACGGAGGTGGTGGGTGTGCTCACCTGAGCTTTGGTTTGGGGGTGCTGAGGACACTGTCATCATCCTCCAGGTCTGGGCCACTGTCACTGGGGTTCTCCATGTCCAGCGTGTCATACAGAAGGTCCAGGTCCTCCTCTGCCTCAGGGACATGCTCTGCAGGGTCCTGCTCTGAATCCAGGACCTAGAGGGAGGTCAGACGTGTGAGGGCTGGTCTGGGGGTTCCCCTTAGCAGGACAGATGGCAAAAAGGCATGGAGCCACCAATCACCCTCTCTCCGGCATGTGCCACCAGCCCAGTTCTGCCAGACGCTGGGGTGACCTCTAGGACCTCCAGTCACCGGGTGCCGAGCACGGCACAGCCATTCTGCCCCTTGTGGCTCCTACTTCAACAGAGAAATGCACGGCAGGAGTGCAGGGCAGGGAGCCCAGCTGGGACAGGCCCGCACTGCGGTCAGGGCTTGGGATGCCTCCCTCCCCAAGGCCTCCCCGCCCTCTCACTGTCCCCCCCAACCCTGAACTGACTTCCGTCCCCATGCATGGGCCTCCTCCAGAACGTCACAGAAATGGTTACGCAGGTACAGCCCTCGGCATGGGGCTCCTCCCACTCAGGCACGCCTATCAGGAAGCGTCTGCACTGTTTGCCTCCGGTGACGTCCTCGTCACCACCTGCCCGCCCGCCCCTGAGCGTGGGCTGGGTCTAGCTGGCCACCAGTGGATGGACGCTCCAGGCTTTGCTGCCACAGACGAAGCTCCTGGGACTGTCTGTCCCTCAGTCCTCATGTGGACATCCTGGATCTCACGGGGTGAGTACCAGGTGCGGGACCGCTGGGGCGACCACTGGTTAAGTGTGAAGTTGACAACTTGGAGGAACTGCCAGGTTGTCTTCCGCAGCAGCTGCCCTGTGGGGTGTTCCCGTCAGCCCTGCAGGTCTGGCTGCTCCCCCCGACGTCGGCGCCCCCACACTCTGTCCTGCGAGGTCACGCCTACCCTCTGTGGCCTCAGGAGGTCGCCCTGCAGCTTCTCAGGGGCTTGCTGGCTATCCAGGTCCCTCCTCAGAGAAAACCTCTAGTCCAAGCCTCTGACCAACTCTTGAACTGGGCAATTAATTTCTCTCTGGATTGTCTCTTTATTTGGGGCTGTAAGGGTGCCTTCCATCTTGTGGGCACAGGTCCCTCACGGGAACTATAATTGGCAAAGACCGTCTACGTGACTTTTCATCTTCCTGATGGCTGTTCAGAACACAGAGGCGTTTATGTTTTGATGTGGTCTGACTTACCGTTTCCCTCTGGCGGCTCGTGCGTCTGGTGTCCTGTCTAAGCCACATGGCCCGGCCCCTGGGCGCCAAGATCACTCCCCTGAGTTTCGTCGTGGAAGCACTCACGTTTAGGTCTTTGATCCGTTTGGAGTTAATTTTGTACATGGTGTGAGGTCCTTTTGCATGTGGACACCTGGCTGTACTCTGTCACCTTCTGCTGAAAAGCCTACTTTCCCCCATTGAGTGGTCTTGGTATCCTTGTTGGAAACTGACCTCTAGTCTCTTGCGTGGTCTCGATTACCGTACCTCTTAGAAAGTGTGAGTCCTTCAACTTTGTTCTTTTCCAAGACTGTTGTTTATTGCGGGTCCCTTGCATTTCTGTGCAGGTCTGGGGACCAGCTGGTCTGCAGAGAGGGACCCTACAGAAGCTGTGGACGGATCTGGGGGGGCTGAGGCTGAGACAGGTCTGTTTCCAGCTCCAGCGTCTGAGAAGAGCCGCCGCCACGCCCGCAAGACCCTTCACGTGTGTGGACGAGTGGCCGTCACCTTCTGTGCAGCCATAACCACGTGTGGCGGTGACACGGGGACACTTACATGCCACCTCTGCTGGGTGGATCCAGGACTGCGGGCCAACTCTCTTACACCCGCGTTAAAAAGAAAACTGAGGTATTTTTCTTGGGGTTATGAAAGTTACACAAACCCATCCTAGCAAATCTGGAGAGTGGAAAACAGCTAAAGGAAGAAAGCTGCAGGTCAGAGCGTGTCAATGGGGGGCTGTGCGTGCGGCGGCGGGGGCGCGCAGAAACTCACCGAGAACGGCCCCAAAATACGCTCAACTTAGAATGACACAAAACACAAAACGCATGGTCACACCCCCAAATGACGTCCAGCCTCCCCCCGGGTCTGTCCCTGGGGCTGTGATTGCAGACACGGGCTGGCAGCCTCGGCTTGGCCCTCGAGGTGCCCCGGGGGTGGGACGGTCAGTGGCAGAGCCAGGACGAGGCCCAGATGCCTCCAGAGCCCTGGTCTCACAGGACGCCACGGGCCTGGTGGGGTCACTCACCTCATCTGACACTTTGAACCTCCGCAGCAACGCCACGACCTTCTGCTTGAAGTTTTGTTGCTGCAAGACAAGCAGGACAGACTCAGAACCCAAGGGGCCAGCTTCCCTTGGGGGGACGTGGCAGGCTCGGCAGGAGGGAGGCACGGTCCCCACGGCTCGCGCGAGCCCCGCTCTCGGCAGCCTGCAGCGCCAACCCCTTTACAAGCATTTGACACCATAGCTGCGCTTGGATGTAGGACCAGACCAGGGAGGAGCCGGAGGAAAGGTGTGCGCTGTCTCTCCCTCCAGAGGCCTCCATGTGAGCAAGGCTGCCGGCCCTGCCCGAGGCACCACCTCACCCCAGCGGGACTCAGGGCTGGGCACACGGTGTGCAGGTGGATGGCAAGGGCTCAGAGGGAGCCCAAGCTCCACCGTGCCCAGTGCTGCCCTGGGCCTCAGAGGCTGAGCTCTGGCCACTGAGTGAGGCAGCTGCCCCTAGCCCCCCTCAAGGGGGTGACCCTATAAAGGACTCCCACATCCCCTCCACAGGTGTCAGGCTCCTGAGCCTGGAACCAGGCTCACACAGGTGCTGCCATGCCCCACCCACTGTACCGGGACCAGGCCCAGGCCTCCCAGCATTGCCAGAGGAGGGGGCAGAGGTTTCTGGGGCTGGGCTTATGCCCCAAGGGTTCCGTGGCCACCCACTGCGCAGCCTGGGCCTGGGGCCACGGCCCCGCACACAGGAGCAGCTTGGCCCTGGGAACTGTCCCGGGGCTCTGTGCCCAGTGGCGGGCGTTCTGTGATGGGTAAGGCCTCCGCCTGGAGCTTTCCTCCTGGAGGAGAAGCAGGACGGCCAGAGCCCGGGGGCCGCTGTGCTGGGTGAGCCAGACGCTGAGCAGAAACGAGGGGCTTGTCTGGGCACAGGCGGGAGGCGGACAACCTCCCCAGCTCTGCTCATGGAGCAGCCTGAGCAGGGCGGCCGTTGTCCCACCTCCTCCCTGCCCTCTGGGCCAGGGGCAGCCACCCAGGATGAGCAAGAGGACCCCGCCAGTGAAGCTTCCCGGGTCGATGACCAGCACCTCGTAGCCCACCCGCCAGTACAAGGCCACGGGGTCTCCCTGCCTTCAAGCCCCACGAAGAGGCTGGGCCTCAGGAGAAGCCAGCAGAGCCAGGCCACGGAGGGGGCGTGTCCCGGGATGGCCACCTCCCATCCCGACGCCCAATCTGGGGCCCCCAGCCCCCCAGCCCCGCCCTTCCCCAGTGTTAGTAAAACCAGTTTCCACCGACCCTGGTCATGGACGCCGTTCTTACTATCGATCGCCGCTGCTTCTTGGGTTTCCCCACATCGAAATCCTCCTCGTCCAAATCCTGGGAGACAAGCACAGGGGCTGGCAGAGGGCACCCCCAGAGCGTCTGCGGGTGCGCAGCGGGACCCCGGGGCGCACACAGTGGGCCAGCTCCCAGCCTCCACCCCCTCTTGGCGCCGCCCTCATTCTGGCAGCTCCGGGGTCCCTGGCCGTTCACACCCCGAGCTTCTGGGGGCCCACACGGCCTCGCGGTCCTGCGCAACGGGCCCTGGGTTACCTGCCCTTGTACGGCATCGTCACTGGCCTCCTGCTCAGAGGAGAAGCTCTCATACTCCTCCTCGGAGTAGTTATCTATGGAATGGGCAAACAGAAGGGGGAGCACCTTGAGATTCCGACTGGTGTCCCGGCGATGAGGCGGTGGCCAGAGGGCGGGCCCCTGGACCTGCGGGGAGCCACGCACAGCCCCCTGCAGGTAGACATTGGGGAGGGGGCAGGCCAGGGCTTCTCACTCCCACAGTGGCCCCTACGGACCTCAGGTGCTTCAGCTTGGATCTCAGGCCCAACCGGGTCCCCTGCGTGCCCTCCCGCACCTCAGGGGGGCAGCGGCCACCACCGCGACGGTGCTGACAGCCGCGCCAGGGCCTGTGCCCAGACCTTGGAAGCCACTGCAATCTAGCCCATGACCTCTTGCCTACCGCTGAGCTCGCACGCCTGCAGCCCAGGCTCCCAGAGCGTACACAATGCTGCTTGTGGAGCGTGCTCACTCAGCCCAGAGAAACCCGTAAACCCTCGTGGGTCCCTCCCCAGCTTCTCAGACCCAGAAGGAAGGGGGCCCGGAGGCAGCCAAGTGGAACGCCCTGCAGCTGTACTCACCTGCAGACTTGGCCTTGGGTCCTGCCTGCATGGCACTGTCCTCGTGGTCAATGGGCTGGCTGGACAGGGAGAAGATCCAGATCTCGGCCACCTTGACTGAGGCCTCCTTGATGCTGCTGCAGAGGCTCAGCACCTGGCCGCCCTCAGAGGGGTGCTGCATCACCTGGGGGCAGGGCT